ATGAGCGACAAACAAAGCGTCGTAAGTATGGGCGTCTTGGACGTCGTGATGGATCCTCTCATTTCCGCAGTATCGTCAACTACTGTCTAATTGCTATCGGTGTTGGTATCTTGGCATTGCCTAAGGCCATCGCCCAAGCTGGTTGGATAATTGGGGTGCTGTTACTGATACTAGCTGCTGGGCTTGCTCAATATGCAATGGTTTTGCTGTACAAGAGTATGCGTATTACCGCGGCTGATGGCATCTCTCCAACCTTCCAGGCTGTTGGTAAGGACGCGTTCGGTGTCGTCGGTATGGTATTCGTCTCCTTTGTCGTGTACCTCGATCTAGTGTTCGTGTGTGCACTATTGGTTATTCTGGTGGGAGACGGTATGGAGACTTTGGTACCTTCGGTGGATACATTCTGGTGGAAACTTATCTTCACCTTGATTATGCTTCCCCTCTCGTGGTTGCCTAGCTTGAAGGAAGTAGCGTTCGTCTCTGCCATTGGAGTAGGAGCTACTATCGTCACTTGTATAGCGGTTGTGGGGGCTTCGGCTCGTGAGATTGCGGAGCCAATAACAGAGAAGACTCATAGCGTCTGGCCCCTATCACTAATGGATGCTGTTGTAGCTCTGACCAACTTCTTCTTTGCTTTCACCGTCGCACCCGTTATCCCAACTCTAGTGGTTGATATGAGGAAGCCTGAAGATTTTCCTAAAATAAGCGGAATCGCACTCATTGTCATTAGTGTTGTCTTCGCTATCATCGGTTTTGCTGGTTATCTTGGTTTCGGTACGGATCTTGTTACTTACCCCAACATCAGCGAGGCGATAGCCCATGGCCGATCCTCTAATGACTGGTTGTTGATCATTGTTGAGGCTGCTATCGAGGTGGTGTGCTTCAGTCACTTCTTGGTCATGCTCAATCCAGTCAGTATTGCCGTTGAGGATGTCATCAAAGTGGTAAGTAAGAAGCAGAGTGTTTCTTGGTGGTTGAAGATTATGGCCCGCTCTTTGTTGGTATTTTTCTGTTTCGCTATTGCTGTATTAATTCCAGCATTCAGTAAGTTAGTGGACCTTATCTCTGCCACTCTCTGTGTGTTCCTCCAATTGATATTCCCCGTTGGCTTCTATTGGGTCCTTACTAAACGTAGCGGCGAGAAAGTCAAGGTGTATCGCAATAGGTGGTTTAAGTATGGCGAATATGCTGTAATGCTATTCTGCATTGTACTTGGTGTGTTCAGTGGTGTAATTGGCACGTGGTCCGTTATCTCTAGTTGGTAGGAATAGTTCCTATCTCGAATGAAGTGTCATCATTCGAAATCGGTGTCTGATATTCGAAATTTTCCCTTATACTCTCTCAAATCTCTATGAGTCTAATGAGAGTGTCATTATGGTCATAAAACTCGATTCGTATACGATCCTATATTTGGATTGTCGCAGTCGAGTCCACTAGTTATCCCTCCTCTGCGAGCTTCACTATATCGTGTCTCGCCTTGTTTTTCTGTCGAGGTATATCGTGACGTGTGAGGGATGACCTTCCGCAGTTCGTCCATCCTTGGTGAACTAGCGTCAAACTGACTCTATCTACTGATTAAGCCTCATGTAGGTGGAGTCTATCGTATACTTGTCATTCATGTCGTCTAACATCTGTCGTAATAAGTCAAATGTGTTGGTACTCTGCAGAATACTCAAATGTCTACTAGTATAGGTTGGTCCATTTAACTCGGATCTAAACATACGATGGAAACATATGTGAACAATGTGTTGTTTATTATGGTCCTCAAAAGTGCTACAAAAAATAGCACTTGTTACTATTCTACGCGTCACTATATTGTGATAGCGTTGTTACATTCTCTCTCGTTGTTGTGGCAGTCGTAATCAATGCTGCTCAGAGCTGATGCTATGCTCCGAGCTCGATGAGTGTGGCATCTATTACCGCAATCACTGCTCATTCTGCTGTTATATCTGAAAGTTTTACCATGACTAGTTTTGTTGTGTTAGTAGATGAAACAGGCGAATCCCACAGGCAGGATCAGGTTAGTTTAAACAAAAGTGAGAACACTAACAGTTCTTCTTGCATACCGTCGAGAGATCGCCAGGAAAGAAATGTCATTGATAAGCATAGATTAGTAGAATCGGTGTGTATGCTGCGTATGATTTGCGATGATTATCGGCTGTTCGGAAGTTTTTGCAAGCTACTAGCTGAAGTTATAATATCTTTTAGGTTTTACCTGTTGGTCGAGTCAATGGAGACCATCGTGTTCAATGTGGCTCAAGCCGTTGAGCAGCTCAATAACAATACGAACTACGTCAGCTGATACATGCTTCAATGATGGCAATCTCGCAACCTGCATCTTGTAACTCGCTAGGAGATCAACGCGTTACCAATGCAAATGAGTATATGTGTCAAAGACCTCAGCAGCGAAGAGCCTACAGAGAAGAATAGAACCTCGGTTCGATTTTCGGAATGGTTTAAAAATCAAGTGCAGAATAAAGAGATGAACAGCACGCAAACTTGAATACCAGTAGATCATCATGAGGGTGTAGCGAGGGTTCACTTATCCTATTGACTCAGGGTCGCGTTACTGTGCTAAAAGGGTTCCAAGGAACCCTTATTATTGGCGTCGCACTGTACTCCTGATGCAGCAGAACGACTGATGATCCGACTGAAAACGAGTATGCGAGGGGCCAGTTGCAGCTTGTCCACCAGCAGCATTCCGTACTGGGGAGCTACAGCCGATAACAGCACGGCGATTCACAGCAAAGGAACAATATCCAGCGGGGCCGTGTTGGGCACGCTAGGTTCCCATGATGCGCCTGTCAGCATTTGAACAAGAACTCTCCACCGGAGAACACCTTGACTCCTCACCAACTGTGTCTGCGCTGTCGATAGATGATGACAGGGACAGAGCGGCGGAAGGTCCATGACCATGCCACATGAGCGGTTAGTTATATGATAATCTTGTCTTGTGTTCTTGCGAGTGTGCATATCGCATGAGGATATCATGACCCCGCACCGAACCTATCCTGGGAATATTCATCTCTAGTCTTCACTATCAACTAAACGATATTCGTTGTCGAAAGACACTGCTGCATGTAGATCAATCATGGGTGGAGGAGAGAATCCGAAGACATGCCGTCGATACACTCGAACTGTGGTATTCTTGGTTTTGTCTCCATTTCTCGCAACCATCTATTATCCAATCGTCTGTTGATACGTTGTGGCCTCTCATCTATACGGACACCATACTCCGGTGATGGAGTTACAGTGAGGCAATCGATGATATCCTCGGATCGATCTCTATCCGATTCCGGATACACAGCAGAGTCTGCCGTTCTATCAGTGAGGGCTATGGCCTCCAGCTCTTCTACTCGTCTATCAAGACTACAAGGGCTCACTGGAGAGACCCTAGGGGGATAGTCTCCACTGGTGGCGACAGGGTATCGGGAATATCGATTGGCCGATCGAGAGCGAGTGGAGGTACGAGTGACGCTGAGGCGGGAGAGATGTGTGTGAAGGTCACGTGATGGAGGGATACTACCAAGAGGTAGACGAGCATTTGCTTTTGTTGCTCGAATCACCATGAAGAGGAGCACCTAGATGCCGACTGGTGAGTGGCCGGAAGGTGCACTCTTGTATATCCCTCCGGTGGAGTTGTTGTCGTAGGTGCTCTAAACGGCACTCCTTCTCCTGTATGTAGTGCCTCCCCCTATCGTACCTCGATAACAGCTTTATGGCCAGCAATGATGCATGCAGAGATGCATCGTGGCTCACAATGCAGTAGTGATGTGAGTCGTTCGTGACTCTGAAGTTCCCCGTGTTCCGTGATCCGGTCGCTTTTTACGAAGAGCCTCCATTCTACGGGCTGAGAGCTCCTTCTCTTGCTCCATACGTGATAGAAAGCATCTGGCCACACCACCAAAGGCCTCAAATTCTATTAATGAGCGTACTACTGAATCCTATCATTGCGTTCCCTCCTTTGTTCCACCGTGGCCGTGTCCTTCTCCTCAAGTTTAACGCTTGGAGCATACATAGGTAGATACGATAGCCTACCCACTGGCCGCATGGCACCCATAGTATAGCGACATTCAAGGGGCCTCCCTATGCTTGAAGACCTCCGTCTATCACCGAGTACAGGCCGGCTGAGGAGCTCACTACGGTCCACCTTGCACCCATCACGTATAGTCGGCGCCCCTCTACTCGGAGGTCTTGGCTCTTGCATTGGGGTCGATCCCCTCCTATGTGGGGTCTGCGGAGCTCTTACAGGGGATGCGCTCGATATCACCGTCACGCGAGGTGTTCCGAGGGCGGATACCGATGAAGTATCCCATGACAGGCCTACTGCCTTCTCAAGGATGCCCCGTCGTCCGCTATTAGAACATAGTTCGCTCTTAGGAGTGTGCACAGATGATGACACGGGATACGGTCCGCCACACCCCGATTCCTCATGCTTTGGTGCTTGGTCAGGTCTAACAATGAATGGCTCAGATTGGTAATGAGTGACGAATGCGCCTCAAGACACGCCTCCCTGTAGACCTCCCGTGGGATTACCGATGCTCCTTATCGGCTTTTTCCCCTGATCGTCGCTTCTGCGCCCTTTCCTCAGTTAACGATCGAGGCTGCCGATCATGTCTAACACTAGAGCCTGAATGGCTTCGTGACGCATTCGATTCGGCAAAGCCTCCGGATGAACTTGATGGGCACGGCCGGGAGACCATCGAGTGGCCAGTATAACTGGGTCGAAACCGCAGTGGCGGGCTAGGGATAGCCACCATCTGTCGCATGATGAACTACAGGGCACACCAGCGGACCTAGACCTGCACAATAGTAATCCTTTTCCATCCCGGTACCTTACAACGACCCAATATCCATCCATTGAAAACTTATGACACCCAACAACGGTGCTGCTATTGATGATGAAAAATGCGAAGGTTCCTGGCCTTAACGATCACCCATCCACAAGCAGTCAGTCATCTTTCCCTTCCTTCGCCGGGAGGAACTTAACCGGATTGCGATTGAATGCAGGCCACGATGGGAATGTTATCTAAATGAGGCTATCATATACTGCGTCGCGAAAGGACGCTCGAAGAGCGTTTCAAAGAGCCTTCGAATCCATCTTCAAGACAAGTAAAAGCAGTGCTGCAAAAAATGTTCGCTTTCCTCAGCTGAGCTCAAAATTTTCCTCACTAATCATAGGATTTTATATACGAATTAGAAGAATATATACGATTAGTGTAGAGAAAGTAACAAGGATTCTCCAAATTCTCCTCAGAAGCTTCATATTGCCACCAACACATGTGGTTGACAAGGCGCAAATTTTACCACGCTGAGTAAAAGTATGATGAAGTTTATGAATCCAATGAGATCACTATCAGTCGCTATACCACCGATATTATCACCAATTCATGACTACCACGAGAAATCTCACCGTGTGACACTACTGAATGTAGGGGGATAAGATGACGAGGGCCTGACATCATTATTACCACTGTAGCCAGG